CATACAAATAGAGATTTCTTTTGGTGGTATTTGATCACCACTGGATTTTATTATTATATAAAAAAGACTGAAAATTTTCCAAGAAAAAACTAATTCTATTTTCTGTTCTGTGTCCACCAGCAGCAACCCCAGGAGGTAGGTCCAGAACAGCACAAGCGGTGCCCAAATGTCCATATTCAACCCAATAATCAAAACGTAATCATACTGGGCAGGATATAAAGAAAATTCAAACTTGCAAGCCTGGACGGTGACGTGGCTTTTGTAATGGCAGAGACCACACTTAAAAATGAAACTGGATAGTGGAATCAATTAAAAATCCACAATATTGGCCCATAAGGAACCCTCTGGGGTTACACACAAAAAAAGAAGAAAGCAAAGCCACATGAGCCATAGGAGGTGCACCTCCTGAGGACTGACCGGTTCAAGAGGCTCCACTGTCCTCCCTTTTTTTTTTTTTTTTTATATTCCAGCCAGTATAATTCAGTTTTCTTGACCCACTCCTTGGGGTTGCTGCTGGTGAATCAGCTCATCCTAACTAATAATATGTCCATATCAGTGGTGTCTTTAGGTTTTTTGCTGCCCTAGGCAACAGAAAAATCAGACGCCTGCCAAGCGGAGATAGCCTAACACCTACCAACACCCTACCCCCCCCCCCCACCCAAAGAGAGCCTTCCATCAACACCCCCCCACCCCCGGAAACAAAGAGAAAGTCACTCACCTTCACAGCTCTGGATATCCCCGGGAATGAGAGTCGGGCTCTGCATACACAATCAAGCAGCTTCTTTTGGATCCCATCTGGTCCCCGTGCTGCATATGTCCCTTCTTCCTGGGGGGGTGCTGCCCCCCTGAAAAAAAAACGCTGCCCTGTTTGCCTGCATGCTGATTGGGTAATGGTTTATTTCAGATATTTCAAATCATTTACAATGTTTGATCCAAGTCTGATCTAATTATACAGGGTGCAATTTCCATATCACCTCTGGTCAGAAAGCCTTAACCAGCACACAGCAGATCAGTTCTGTTTCCTCATTAATGAATCTTCTTTTCCAGATCCTCCCCTTCACATGGAGAAGACAATAAGTGATGCCACTTTACAACTCCAACCAGTTCTCAGTCTGAATGGGCCAATCAGGTGAGGAACTGCTTAAAAATGACTAATGCGTTCTTGGAACTTCAGGATCAAAGGTCAAATAAGCCCAGCCTGCAAAAGAAATTGTTTTATACTTACTGTCAGGGCCTGGGTTCAAACCAGAGACCTTGGCTGTATCTGACAATGTCTCTCCCTGTTGAGCCACCTGGAATACTGGATAGCTCCCTGAACAATTCCTTGAATGATCCTTCCTTGACCTTGTTTGTTATGAACCTTGAATCTCTTGCTCCTCCCCTGAACTTCCTTATTTAAGCCATGCCTCTGCACTTCCTCTTTGCCAGATTATTGTGCTCTCTCCAGCCAATATCTCGCTCTTGTCTCTCCTGCTGCCGTCCATAACTTTGCTACCACTCTTTACCGGCCTTTGACTTGCTCCTCAACTATGCTTCTGCCTGATCCCAACCGGTACCACTACTATCTTTGGCTTGGTTACTGACTATGCTTCTGTTTGATCCCTGCCTGTTATATACTACTGGACCCTGGCTTCCTCAACCTTTGTGGGCCTATCCTGAGGACTGCAACCTGGTACTAACATGCAGCAAAACGCATCTCCACCATCAGGAGCTCTGGTGAATACCGGTTAGTGCTGAGACTCCGCACCTCAGGTGAGCCCATGTTATCTGTCAGGGTGACCTGCTTGTAAACCTATCCTGCTGGTTGGTGGAAGCCTCTTCGCTGTTATAGCTACTGGTCTCCGAGCCTGACCCTTGACTGCAACATATACCTTTCTGGAGGCCCATGTATTGAAACTGTTGCTTTGCTGTTCCTCGACTGCTGCAGGTATTTGACACAACATAAGTACATAACCTCTTTTGTCGTATAATGTAAAGCGAGCGCTAGAAAGCTTATAGTAGGGGAGACTGAATTGCATTAACGGCAAGAATGAGTGAGGAACACCCAGCCTGACCAGATCCATGTACACAGGAGCCATCAACAGAACCATAAGAGAATATTGTCTCTTGATGCACAGTCACACTGCATCTGGTGAGTGCACAGCCTTCATTTTTTCACCGGTTATAACACCACGGCTTGGAAGGATCACTCTCTAATGGAGAACACTGAATCTCCTACATCCATACTAGGACAAGCCTTGTTTTGATTACACCATTTGTCACCTTGCTCGTGACAGAATATATGTGATCACTTAAGTCACTGGATCTTATGCTATTTTTGCACTTTGTCATAACCTCTTTTGTGTGAGAAGATGCAATGGTCATGGGGTGAGGGCCATCTCACATGACCACTGTGTCCCCCACCAGAGTCATTGCTACATTTGGACGCACTGCTAATATAAAATAAATAAGACTTTCTATCTAGTTACTGTTTTGTGTAAATAAAATGTGAGTGGGGATGCATTGTTGCATCTATTCCCAAGATGATCATCAGTGACATGATCGGATTAAGTAAAAGGATAATTTAGAGATGTTTCCTAGCACTTGATTTGAATTGTTTTGATGTTCTCCAAGACCTCTGCTGGGATTTGGTGCTTTGGTACCATCCCGTACCTGGTTGTAGGCAGAGAAAATAGGAGGGCTTCCTTTATACCTGTGGACCAGACACCACTGAAGTGTAGCACAGGGAGCAGGATGGCACATTGTGGCATGGGTGCCAGAAGCTCAATCCACAGAAACTTCCTTCTGAAGGCAGGCTTGACTGTGAAGGCTTACGCAAACTGAAAGCGGGGTTCCTGGGAGCAGACAGACCAGAATTCATCTGGTTAGGGCACTAGAATACACAGCAGGCTGAAAGCAAGATCTGCACAAGTGGTGGTTGGTAGCCAAGAAGACAGACAGCAGGCAAAGTAGTAAGCAAAGTCTTGCTCAGAAGGCAAGCCATGGTTACACCAAAAACCAGAATAGAAGAGCCATGGTCAAGATCTAGCCAGAGTCAAACCAGGAATCAGCAGAGATAAGCTGTTGTGAAGAACTAGCCAAAGTCAAATCAGGAATCGGTAGATACAAGCTATGACCAGAAAATTGCCAAGATTAAACCAGGAATCAGCAGAGACAAGTTATGGTTAGGAACTTGCCGAGGTAAAACCAGGATTTAGCAGAGACAAACCATGGTCAGAAACTCGCACAGGTCAACAGCAGAGTAGGGACAAGTTCAAAGACATGCAAGGGCATCAACAATTGGGAAGCAGATTTTAGGAACAGGTTTGGAGTTCAAGCTGCAGGTAACAGCTGAAGATCATCCAGCAATTTACTAACCCAGCTCTTTTCCTTAAATTGGCCACTACTTCCGCTAGAGAGTGTAGGCATAGCATAACCTAGGACAAGGTATTGGTAGAAGGGAGTACCCCTTGCTAGCACAAGGCCCTTCTAGGGGAAGGCACTAAAGACTCACAAATTTGAAGAATTTTACATTTTGCTGTGTTGGAAGCCCATTAAAAAATGGGCTTCCTTAATGTAGTGCATGTTAAAGGGAGAAATCACACACATTGATGTGCATGCGCATGTACTGCGACTCACAGGGCAAGTCTAAAGAGGACTTTACAGTTACAAATGGTGGATTGGTGGAAGCAGTGGAAATGCTGGGTACTTTTGTGTCCTTTGGATTCTCCTGCTATTCTTGATTCAGTCTATTGTCTGTAAAAAGTACATTCCAAGGGAGAGGTCAAAGAGAAGGAGGACAACAAAGAGAAAGGTGGAGGAGAACCGACTCATCTGTTTTCCCTTATGTTATTATACACAGCCCTCAACTTTCACATTAAAGTGGAATTTTAGTCAGTAAATTACATCCCGCTACAGCACTTCAGGCTGGCCCCTTTTGCAGGTATATCTATATAAATCATTACAAAAAAAATGCACATACTGTTTTAAATCCAGTAATACACTGTCCCACCTGCTCTGCACATGCTCGGTTGCTCTCTATTTTTGGCATTGTGCTGATTTTGTAGAAGCCGATCCTCTGACAGACTAAAGATTTACTGCTGCTCAGGGGCTCTGAAGCTTCAGAAAAATTGCCTCCTGAAGAACCAGGAGCAATGCTGGAGGCAATTTACGGCACACATTCATTTTGGTAGCATCATATTAATGTGGAATGTATGGTCCTTGCTAACGAACATAATTTTTTATCAAGTTGTTATGGGTACAGTTCTACTTTAAGGTGCATATGGAAGCCCTGGGTCTTTAGAATCCTAACAACACCTCCGATTTGAACCAACAAGGGAGCATCTATCTATTTACATGTCTGTCCCTAAGATTCTTCAGTGTTTGAAAAAAATTTCATGAAATATGACGGATTTACAGTTCATCAGAATTTCTTCATTTGTGTTGATATAATAATCAAAGCTGGGAAATTATATGTATTAAAGCGGAGCCCCACCTAGAAGGAGAAGTTTCACTTTAAGTCTTCATCCCCCTCTCCTCATTGCATCTTTGGGGAGGGGGGTACCTGAATTTGACAGGTACCCGCTCCCACTTCCACTGTGATCACCAAGGCGATCGGAAGAGGAAGCTGTCCCCCCCCCCTCCGTGGTCTTCTGGGACACATGACTGGTCCCAGAAGACTACGTGACCATTCAAAAAAAGTACAGCACTACTCGCGCATGCACAGTGGACACCCAACTTTGAGGCCACAAGCTGTCACAGCCGGGTGCCCACACTGAAGATTCCGGCACTGGGGAGAGAGGACGGCCAGTAAACCCGGCTGCAGCGATGACTCCACAGGATCCAGGGACAGGTGAGTGTCTGTTTTTTTTTAAAAGTCAGCAGCTACAGTTTTTGTACTGTAGCTGCTGACTTTTATTTTTTTAAATTTGACTGGACCTCTGCTTTAAGGACAGCAGAGATAAGGACACACATTATATTGCATAGCTGAGATTATTCTGGTATTTTCCTCCTCCAGATCTTATGAGATCATTGTCTTTGGTGGTCAGGAAGGCAATTCAACAAAGGAGTGTCTGAATTTCAAAAACACCCCATACAACTCCAGCTGGACTTCAGGCCGTTATACTGCAGCTGTCCTTCCTGCAGAGGACCTCACCGGACCCAGAACCTTCATCCTGGGGGATAACCACCATTATAATGGGTTCCACAATGCTCCTCTTATCCCCAACCACAACTACACCGTCTACATTCGGGTCACCAGCCACTGGAAACACGTATGTCTATACTGATGTCTATACTGATGTCTTCCTGGTGTGTGAGTGCCATGAATGAGGGCTGAGAGTCGCTGTTTTTTGGAGATTGTGGAAATAATTGCAGATTCATGAATAGGAATCTAAGGACAAGTCATTTAATTAACATATTTGGTGTGTTATGGTTCCTAGAGAGTTATGTTTCAGTGAGTGCTTGTGAGAAGGGTGCAGTACAAAGGCACAACTGTCTTGAGCCGCTTATGAACCGTGACATTGGTCTGGAGACTTGAAAGATGCCGACAGTGTCTGCAACGAGGAGTGGAATGCGACCTGGCCATTTTGCACCCAAATTGGAGGCTTCCTGAAGTGAGGTAGACGTAGTCCCTACACTGTCCACCCTCCTCCGGAACCTTCCCTACCACTAAGCACTGTCCCTACCAGACGCGTATCCTGTCCATATACTAACCACTTGCTTAATTGCAAACCCAGGAGCCTTAAATAGTCTCTGCCTGACCCAAGATGGCCACTGAAGTCACATGGGGTGCCAGCGTCCATTCAGACAGCTGCCTCCTTGTGACCGCAGGAAGTCAGAGGAACCAAGTTCCTCACAACTTTCTTCCCCTTCTTTATCGATTAATATCTTAAAGGATGTCCCTGTTGGGGACCATATTTATTTGGTGACCGTAGACATTGAGCCACTTTATACCAATATTAAACAAAGTGATGCTTTGTTAGCTACTAATCTATCACATTTAAAAGAACCTCAAATCCAATTTATATGGGAATCTTTAAGGATGCCCACATGAGAAAAATATATTCAAAATATATTTTTAAAATATTCTTCCCAAATATATTGATATATATTTGAAATGCTACAATTTTGGCCGTATTCAATATATTTCAATACATATATAAATATATACTGCACGTTGCAATGCGTTTTTGTATATATTACAAAATGTATGAAAATATTTTTAAAAATATATATATTTTTTAAATATATTCTTCTTTTTTTTAACATATAAAAGTCATTTTTACATTTTGTCACGTACTAGGAGCGCAGAGAGAGAGCACAAGGAGACAGATTGCATGGAACCTGATGTGCGGGCATTTATTGGAGTTTTTTGGGGTACAGACAATAGATCTGGTGTCCACAGATCAACACCAGACTCAGCAACACAGTAAAGTTCTCTGGAAGGCAATATGGGACAACAGGGGGCCAATACTCCTCCAGGTTCAACAGGACAGAGGGGTGGAGGTTCCGTGGGAATTGAGGTTCATGGGAAGAATTGGGCTCAGTCTTTTGGGCAACATGGGGTTAGCCCACTTACTGGAAGCGGAGAGCCGGACATGGAGGGTTACAGTCCACACAGGCAACTCATGGCCAATTCACATAGGCAGCTCCAGGCAGCAAAGAGTTACATCCACCAGGGGAGAGCTCCGGGCAGCAGGCTCACTGGCAGCAAAGGGTTAAGTCCACCAGGCTCAAGGGCAGCAAAGGGTTAAGTCCGAATGGCACACAACAGGTAGCAGTCTATGGCAGGCAATGAATTAAATCCAAATCGCACCCAACAGGGTGGCAGAACTTGGGCAGCCAAGAATTAAGTCCAGGCTGGATCCTCAGCACAGGGGCTGGCACACAGCACACGGGCAGAGCACAGGGTAGCAATTCAGGGACTCACCAGCCAGCAGTGGCCCCAGCAGAGGAAGTCTAGACAGATAGGCACCAACTCCGCAGGGGCAGTCAGAGGGCTGTGTGTCTTGGCCGCAGCTTCAAGACCACACAGGCAATGTAGAACCACAAGTCCCAGCAGTGCACAAAGCAAGACACAGTTCAATGCATCTCCTAGTTAAGACTGCAGCCATGAGCTGCTCTTTCCATCCTGACTCAAGCTCTGCACATTCTAAGAGTCCCTCTCCCCACATAGGTCCTTTCCAGTTCCCCCAAGCCTCAAGCCCCTGGTGCCGACACAACTGGCTTTTCACAGCCACAGGAAACCATGCTGTCTGGGCCCCCTGCTTGAGATCCACCTCATCTCCCACACCCTGCGGGGAATAGGAACTCTGAGATTTAACTAAGCAGACACACTGCTTGCTGGACACCCCCATCGAGTTCAACAAACAACACAAAAACAAAACAACATTTCTGATCTCCATCACACATATATTTGTAAATGCATTCCAAAAATATAGATTTGTATTTTCAGGACATACAGAATACTTGAAAATGTATTTAAAAAAATATTTTTCATATATTTTGTAATAAAAAACGCATTTCTCCGTCAAGAAGCTGCTGGAACTCGAGACAGTGAATCTGGCTATTGTTACCCCAATATCCAGACGACACCAGTCTTGAAGTAAACCAGGAGGTAGACTAGTTTATTTGAACACAGATACAAGATATATACACTCAGGGGACAGTCCCCCCTCCCTGCATAATGACACAGGGTGGGGCAATCTACAGTTAGTAACAAGAGACACACAGGTATTCAAACTTCACACCAGCAGACAGTCCCATCAGGAGGGAAGGCTGCTGGAGACATCCCCCCCCCCACACTAAGCTAATACACAAACACATACATCCCATAACAGTTTGCTCCCAAGCAAGACAAACAATAGAACAATGAGATGCAGCCACATAACACCAGACAATCCACAACCCCCACCCCACCTATCTCCTAGACATGTCTACACAGTCTGAGACAAATCCCCCCAATATTAGGACAGATCACCCCTAACAGGCACAGGGTGATTTACACATACAAGGGATATGGGGAACTGAGACAGGGGTCTCCCCACCTTTCCGAAGTGAGCTGGGTTCCATGGGCCCCCCACCCAAAGTGACTCCTGTCGCAGTGATGGCGATCGGTACTGTCTGAGATCTCACAGAGGAGACCACGGCAAGCTTCGTATTCATTCCACATGGTGTGGGGACTATTTGATTTATAGACATTTATTTTACATTTAACTTTTGCATTTGGTGGTAACACATTTTTTGAGGTATATATTATATGGAACAAAGTTATTTGTGTTCAGTCCTTTCATGCAGAAACAATGTAGTACTGTCTGTGATACTTTTTTTATTTGCACTAACATACAATTTCAGGACAAGCTTTTGGGGTATGCCCCCTTCTTCATGGCCCAAGCAGTGCAAGGTTTGGACCTTGAAGAAGGGGACACACCACAAAAGCTTGTCCTGAAATTGTATTTTAGTGCAAAAAAAAGGATCACAGACAGTACTATGTTTCTGTGGCAAGTGCACTAATACGGCTACAATCAGTCCTTTCATGGTCATTTGTGGTCGCAAACATTTTTTTTTTCTATAAATCGATTATTAAGGGGGCCCCATGAGGGAGATTTCACTTCATTTGCGGTCCATGCGGCAGGTCCAGACAGAGCTATGAGAGGATAAATATCTCCTTTGTGAAGACAAAACATTTAACAAGTCCAGCCCTTCCCCGTCCATTAAAAAGGACTGGAGCTGACCTTTAACTGGCCGCTTCATAAAGGTTTGAAATGGTTTGGATTTCCCTTTTTTAACCCCTCGCCCTCCAGAGGATTCCCCCCCAGCTTTCCTGACCAGGCCATTTTTTTTGCGATACAGCACTGCGTTACTTTAACTGACAATTGCGCGGTCGTGCAACGCTGCACCCAAATTAAATTTACGTCCTTTTTTCCCCACAAATTAAGTTTTCATTCGGTGGTATTTAATCGCGTGTGCAGTTTTTATTTTTTGTGCTATAAGCAAAAAAAAGAATGACAATGTTGAGAAAATAAAAAATATTTCTGGCTATTTGCTATTAGCCCCTCGCCCTCCTGAGGATCCCCCCCCCCTTCCTGACCAGGCCATTTTTTGCGATACGGCGCTGCGTTACTTTAACTGACAATTGCGCGGTCGTGCAACGCTGCACCCAAATGAAATTTACATTCCTTTTTTTCCACACAAATTGAGCTTTCTTTCAATGATATTTGATCACCTGTGCGGTTTTTATTTTTTGTGCTATAAAAAAAAATATTGACAATTTTGAGAAACAATATTTTTGACTTTTTGCTATTAAACATGTCCTGTAAAAAAAATGTAAAAAATCAAATTTCGTCATAAATTTGAGCCAAAATGTATTCTGCTCCGTGTCTTCACTAAAAAAAATCCCAATACGTGTAAATTATTTGGTTTATGTCAGGGGTGGGCAACTGTGGCCCTCCAGCTGTGTAGAACTACAAGTCCCATGAAGCACTGCAAAACTGACAGTTACAAGCTTGACTCCCAAAGGCAGAGGCATGATGGGACTTGTAGTTCACCAACAGCTGGAGGGCCACAGTTGCCCACCCCCGGTTTACGTGAAAGTTATAGCGTTTACAAATGGCGGTATAGATACTGGGATTTTTTTCTTTTAATTTTTACTAGTAATGGCAGCGATCAGCGACTTATAGCGGGACTGCAGTGAACCTTCTGACACCGGGGGGTAGAACTGACTTGGTGTCACTTACATCCCCAGTGACACCAACAAAGTGATCAGCGCTAAAAAAAAACCACTGACACTGTACTAATGGCACTGGGCAGGAAGGGGTTAACATGTGGGGCGATCAAAGGGCTAACTGTGTGCTGTTTTACTAAGTCCTGTGCCCATGTGCTTCACACTGCTTTGCCATCCTGTAGCAGTGTTTCTGCTATAGGGTGGTCAGGAAGCAGTTAAAGGGTAACTCCACTTGCCCAGATCAGCCATGGAAGAGTGTGGAATGAATTGTACACATTGGTATTGCTGGCTTTCCAGATCGGCCATGGAAGAGTGTGGAATGAATTGTACACATTGGTAGAACTGGCTTTCCAGATCAGCCATGGAAGAGTCTAGAATGAATTGTACACATTGGTACGACTGGCTATCCAGATCGGCCACGGAAGAGCCTGGAATGAATTGTACACATTGGTACGACTGGCTATCCAGATCGGCCACGTAAGAGCCTGGAATGAATTGTACACATTGGTATGGCTGGCTTTCCAGATCAGCCATGGAAGAGCCTGGAATGAATTGTACACATTGGTATGACTTGCTTTCCAGATTGGCCATGGAAGAGTCTGGAATGAATTGTACACATTGGTATGATTGGCTCTCCAGACCGGCCATGGAAGAGTCTGGAATGAATTGTACACATTTGTATGATTGGCTGTCCAGATCAGCCATGGAATAGTCTGGAATGAATTGTACACATTGGTATGACTGGCTGTCCAGATCGGCCACGGAAGAGTCTGGAATGAATTGTACACATTGGTATGACTGGCTGTCCAGATCGGCCACGGAAGAGTCTGGAATGAATTGTACACATTGGTATGACTGGCTTTCTAGATTGGCCATGGAAGAGTCTGGAATGAATTGTACACATTGGTATGACTGGCTGTCCAGATCGGCCACGGAAGAGTCTGGAATGAATTGTACACATTGGTATGACTGGCTTTCTAGATTGGCCATGGAAGAGTCTGGAATGAATTGTACACATTGGTATGACTGGATTTCTAGATCGGCCACGGAAGAGTCCGGAATGAATTGTACACTTTGGTACGACTGGCTGGTTGTCTGATGAGCATCTGTAGACTTTGATTATTTAAAAGTCCCCACATGAGTTGTAATGTATTTATTTATTTTCTTTCTATTCCAAGGTGGAGAAATCATCATGTGCTTTTGCAGGATTCCTTCAAAGTAAGTTTGTGTGTTTGTATATATATATAGATATATGCTGTTTTATGATTTTAAAGGCTAAGTTCACCTTTGGTAACATGCAACATATTCCTACTCCTGCAGCCTCTCCTTGTCTCCCCCTCTTCTCTGTGACAGCAGGCCGGGGATCTTCTCCCCACACCTGCTGTCACATTTTGAAAAGAGGCGGAGCCCCACACAACCACATCATTCATGCACAGGCTTCTGTGAATAAATGAACTACAAGTACCAATAGCCTTTGTGGCTGACGGTTTGTAGTTCTCAATGCAGGGGCGCTGGTGAGCACTCTTGTCGTCCATTGAATCCTCCTTTCTTTCTGTAATGACCTGCCCATATAATGTATGAGCAGACAAATACGCAGACAGACTGCAGGAGCCTTGCATTGCACCCGCAACCTGCTGAATGCTTTACAGGCTCCTACAAAAAAAGGTTTATTCTTCTCCTTCATGTGTATAGCTATTTTTGTAGTTTAAGATAGAGCAGTGAAGGGTTAAAACCCCTTTTTCTCTGTCTGTGCACCATTGGGGGAAATAACCTTCACTTTCTGTCCCAGGCGCAATGGGAAATTGAAGGAATTCTCCCAAAGTGAGAGGAACCCCACCTGGAACAGAAGTCCCTATTAGAAGTTTTCCTCTCACCTTTTTTGGGGGGGACAACTCTAACGTTTTGGATTTCCTCTTACTTTCTTTCACCAGGACAAACAGAGAGAGCTCTATCTCATCTTACTCACGTACCTCAATTGACCACTGTTGACTGGTGTACATGGAACTCATTCCATATTGATATACTAGAGTGCATTGTCCACATTAATACTCCGGAATGTATTATCTAGTAATAATTCTCTCTTTTGGTTTCCATCACAGTTCCTGTGAGCAGCAACATTCACATCATTGTGGGGTCGATTTTAACTGTCATTTTACTGCTCATCCTTCTTCTCCTGGTGATCCTATGGAGGAGACGCTCTTCACGGTTTGTGTCTGTTTCTGAGAATATAGGAAAATATTTTAAATTGTCATTTAGATTAAAATTCCTCTGGATCAAATCCTTGGGTTGCAGACTTGGAAGTAACATAATAAAGTGTACCCATGCTTCTTCCAAACTCTAAGCATAGGTAGATATATCAATTGGATAACAAAAGGAACCTTCAAATTGATGTACCTTCAAATCATACTGGAATAGTGTACGGCATCAACTTTAATACATGTAATACATTGGTACACCTAAAGTAAAAGCAGAGCCAAAGCAATATTAGAAGACACAGTATAGTAACAGGGCCACTACTGTACTCAACTGCCCAAGACTGGCCAGCCAAAAGGGGAGCACACAAGGAGTTGGAATTGGGTTCCAGAGATGTGGGTGCCAGAGAGGTGTCCACCATGTTTAGTTTTTTTTTTAAATGTGTTTATGGATTTCAAAATGCCAATATTATCTGACTTGAAGAAGTGTTTAAACTAGTCATATGCATAGGAAGGGCTTCAGTTCAGGGGCGGACTGACCACTTGGAAACTTGGGCACTGCCCGAGGGCCCGGGGTCAGTAGGGGGCTCCATGAGATGCCCCTGGTACCTTTTTCATAGGCTTTTTTGAGTTTGGGCAAGGACACAGGGGCCCCATGATCCCCTATTGCCCGGGGGCCCCATGAGTTGTCAATCTGCCCCTGCTTCAGTTCTATCACTAGTAGTCTTGGTGTGACCCATAAATATAGCTTTTTTCTCTCAGCAGTAAATCAAGACGTTCATCTGATATCCCATTAAAGGCTCAAACTGGATTGGGTAAGTTGAAAATCGTTATATTTTTTGGAAAATATCTGGGGTGGAGGATACTGGGGGTTCAAACACCCCAAGTCTACTTTAATTTCCTATCTGTTTCATGAGAAGAGAGGTTGGAAGCAGGCCTGGAGGGTACAGATGAGTACAGGTGAGGCCTGCCATTGGAAGCGGGCATGGAGAGAACAAATGAGTACTACTGCTGGAAGCAGATATGGAGGCTGCAAATGAGTACTGGTGAGTACTGCCACTGGTAGCAGGCATAGAGGGTACAGAGGAGTACAGGGGAGTACTGCCACTGGAAGCAGGCATGGATGGTACAGATGAGTACTGGGGACTACTGCCACTGGAAGCAGGCATGAAGGTACAGATGAGTACTTCCACTGGAAGCAGGCATGGAGAGAACAGATGAGTACTGGTGAGTACTACCACTGGAAGCAGGCATGAAGGTACAGATGAGTACTGCCACTGAAAGCTGGCATGGAGAGAACAGATGAGTACTGGTGAGTATTACTGCTGGAAGCAGGTATGGTGGAGGGTACAGATGAGTACTACCACTGGAAGCAGGCATGGAGAGAACAGATGAGTACTGGTGAATACTACCGCTGGAAGCAGGCATGAAGTGTAGAGATGAGTACTGCCAATGGAAGCAGGCATGGAGAGAACCGATGAGTACTGGTGAATACTACCGCTGGAAGCAGGCATGAAGTGTAGAGATGAGTACTGCCAATGGAAGTAGGCATGGAGAGAACCGATGAGTACTGGTGAGTACTACCGCTGGAAGCAGGCATGAAGTGTAGAGATGAGTACTGCCAATGGAAGTAGGCATGGAGAGAACAGATGAGTACTGGTGAGTACTACCGCTGGAAGCAGGCATGAAGTGTAGAGATGAGTACTGCCAATGGAAGTAGGCATGGAGAGAAACAGATGAGTACTGGTGAGTACTACCGCTGGAAGCAGGCATGGAGAGAACCGATGAGTACTGGTGAGTACTACCGCTGGAAGCAGGTATGGAGGGTACAGATGAGTACTGCATATGGGAGGTTCAGCTAAAGCATAGCAATGTATTGCTTGAAAGCCAAACCATTCACAATTAAAGCATTGCTAATCAGGAGAGCTGTCTCCCTGTTGGCTGCCACAGTGAACGGAAGAGCTGACTCCTTACTGGTCATGGCACCAGTGATCCAGATGAAGTGGTGGTGGACACCTCCTGGAGAGGACACCCAGCACTGGATCCCAGCAAAGATGAGTGTGGCAGTATTATTGCTATTATACAGGATTTATATAGTGCCTACAGTTTGCACAGCATTTTATGGACCAGGGAGGAGATGTAGAGTGAGAAAAGGAGAGGTCCAAGGATGGAGCCTTGGGGTAGCCCAACAGAAAGAGGGAGTGGAGCCAAAAAGATCTGTTTTGTTTTGTTAGAAAGGTCACTATTACTCTGACTACTAGACATGTGCAATTTATTTCAGTCCGAATCTAAATTCAAACTGATTTTTGGTTATTCGGAGATTTGGATGCATCCAAATTTCCGAATAACAATAGTAACAAATTTCATTAAAATTCTTTTACTTTCATTAGTTTGTTTTCTAACAAATTCCAAATTTTCAGAATAATTTCAATTTGAATCAGCCAAAAATTAATTGACTGATCTGAATTCTGTATGAAGAATAGCTGGTTGTTAAGGAGAGGGCTGGGAAACTGAACACCGCGTCCTTAGCAACCAATGGCTCATCAACTGTCAGTGGTTTCCCCAATGACAGCTGAATGTAAAAAAAAAAAAAGAATTGCCCGAAATTATTTATTTATTTTATGGCATTGCCCCCCCCATCCATATCGGGCACTATGGGTCTGGTATGAATTTTATGGGGAACCCAACACCAAAATAAGAATTAAAAAACGGCATGTGGTCCCCCCAAAATCCATACCAGGCCCCTATCTGAGCATGAAGCCCAACAGGCCAGAAAAGGGGGGGGCGAGCGGGAGCCACCTCCTCCCGAACCATACTAGGGCATGTTGATGGGGACAAGGGTCTCTTCCCCACAACTCTGGACTGTGGTTGTGGGGGTCTGCGGGTGGGGAGCTTATTGGAATCTGGAAGTCCTTTTTTAAAAAACAAATGTCCCCCGAAGTAGATCCAACGTCAGTCACAATAAACGCCAGACGCCGACCTGAAGAAAGAAAAAAAAAAAGAGCCCCGCACCCTACGAAGGCTCCCGCCGTCTGACAGCTCCACTGACAGTTCTTAACCACTAGCCTACAGGGCACTTCTACCCCCTTCCTGTCCAGGCCAGTTTCCAGCTTTCAGCGCTGTCACACTTTGAATGACAATTGCGCGGTCATGCAACACTGTACCCATATGAAATTTTTATAATTTTTTTGTGACAGATAGAGCTTTCTTTTGGTGGTATTTAATCACCTCGGGGGTTTTATTTTTTCTTAAACCAAAAAACCACTAAAAATTTTGAAAAAAAAAAAAAGTTTTTTCTTAGTTTTTGTTATAAAATTTGGTAAATAAGTGATTTTTCTCCTTCACTGATGTGCGCTAATGAGGCTGCAGTGATGGGCACTGATAGGCTGCACTGATGGACGCTGATAGGTGGCACTGATGGGCACTGGTAGGTGGCACTGATGGGCATTGACAGGCATCACTGATGGGCATTGAAAGGCAGCACTGATATATGGCACTGATAGGCGGCAGATAGGCGGAACTGATAGGCGGCAGATAGGTGGCACTGATAGGCGGCACTGACTGGCACTGTTAGGTGGCACTGACTGACACTGTTAGGCGGCACTGATAGGCAGCACTGATGGGCACTGATGCACACTGATAGGCGGCACTGACTGGCACTGATAGGTTTCACTGATTGGCAGTACTGATAGGTGGCACTGATTGGAAGCACTGATAGGTGGCACTGACTGACACTGATGGGTGACACTGAAAGGCAGCTCAGATGGGCACTAAGTGGCATTGATGTGGCACTGATGGGCACTGGCAGGTGGCGTGGATGAGCACTGACAGCTGGCACTGATGGACACTGACAGGTGGCACTGCTGGGGCTACACTGATCAGTGCCCCGATGATCAGTAGATGTCCCCTCCGAGGAATGCCGATTACCGGCTCTCCTCTCCTCTGTCAGCGTGACAGCTCGAGAGGAGAGAAATGCCGATAACCAGCATTTCCCTGTTTACATGCGATCAGCTGTGATTGGACACAGCTGATCACATGACCGAAACGACATCTTCAGCTCTTTCTGTGGATTGGTGATCTGCTGTGTCCGATGGACACAGTGCACCGGCAATCGCCGCGCTGCACACTCCCGGAGCCGCACATGCACAGTGAAAATGGGAGGACGTCATTTGACATCCTCCCAGAACGAGAGAACCACCTTGCACCCATCATTGGACTATATGGCGGGTGGGAGACGGGTAAATAACAAAGGGGAAGGGCCACCCAATGATGTTGCTGGGTGATCCTGCCAGCTTTTGACATCATTGACTGGGTCATGCTGGGTCAATGAAGTCACAAGGGGGCGGGGTCACATGGTGACATCATCGGGTGGGCCTGTCCCTTTGTTGTTTAAGAATTGTCAGATGGTGGGTGCGATTGTCGGGTACGGAGCTCTTTTTTTTTTCCCTTCAGGTCGGAGGCCGGTGTTCATTGTGATTGATGATGGATCTACTTCGGGGGACATTTATTTTTTATTTTTTGTTTGTTAATAGAGGTCAAAAACGGGTGTTGTGTTTTTTCTCACTTTTTACACTTTTTTGGTGAATGAGCAAGAGTACTATATACCCCATATTTATTCAAATGGGGGGGCTGGGATCTGGGGGCCCCCCTTGTTAAAGAGGGCTTCCAGATTCTTACAAGTCCCCTGCCCACAGACCCCCACAACCACAGGCCAGGTTTTTGGGGAAGAGACCCTTGTTCCCATCAATATGGGGACAAGGTGCTTTGGGGGGGTGCCCCCCTACTCCAAAGCTGCCATCCATGTTGAGGGCATGTGGCCTGGTATGGTTCATGGGGGGTGCTCCCTTTCCTGACATGCTCAGATAAGGGCCTGGTATGGATTGTGGGGGGGGGCATGCCTTTTTTTTCTTTTTTTTTTTTTTTTAAATTTCATACCAGACCCAAAGGGTATGGATGGGGGGTATCCCACGCCATTTTTTTTTCTTATTTTTTCATTCATTTTTTTACATTCAGCCATCAGTGGGGAAGCCACTGACAGCTGAGGAGTCATTGGTTGCTAAGGATGTGGAGACCAACTTCCCGGTCCTCTTCTTAACAACCAGCTTTTCTTCACACAGAATTCAGATCAAATTTTCAACCAATTCAAATCATTTTGAAAATGTGGAATTCCTTATAATAGAAAAAATGTAAACTAAACGAATTATGAAATTAATCCACAAAATTAAATTAGTAATATAACAAATTTATCCACAACAAAATACATTTTTCCATTCTGCACATGTCCTAACTCCCCCCATTCACTCTGTTTGTTTGATATCTCACTTAATGGTCATCTATATAAATATAATTGTGACGTCAATCTATGGGGTTTATGTACTAAAGCTGGAGAGTGCAAAATCAGGCTCACTTCTTCATAGAAACCAATCGGCTTCCAGGTTTTGTTGTCCAAGCTGAAGTTAGAAGCTGATTGGCTACCATGCGCAGCTGCCCCAGATTTTGCACTCTTACTTTTAGGCTCCATGCACACTAGGGGTTTTGTTCCCCCCCTTCCAGTCCAGAAACTTTCCCCCCTCCCTTCCAGTCCGGACACTTCCCCCCTCTTCCAGTCCGGACACTTTCACCCCCCTTCCAGTCCGGACACTTTCACCCCCTTCCAGTCCGGACACTTCCCCCCCCTTCCAGTCCGGACACTTTCACCCCCCTTCCAGTCCGGACACTTTCACCCCCCTTCCAGTTCGGACACTTTCACCCCCCTTCCAGTCCGGACACTTTCACCCCCCTTCCAGTCCGGACACTTTCGTCCCCTTCCAGTCCGAACACTTTCCCCCCCTTCCAGTCCGAACACTTTCACCCCCTTCCAGTCCGGGCACTTTCCCCCCCTTCCAGTCCGGGCACTTTCCCCCCATTCCAGTCTGGACACTTTCCCCCCATTCCAGTCTGGACACTTTCCCCCCATTCCAGTCCGGGCACTTTCCCCCCATTCCAGTCCGGGCACTTTCCCCCCCTTCCAGTCCGGGCACTTTCCCCCCCTTCCAGTCCGGACACTTTCCCCCCCTTCCAGTCCGGGCACTTTCCCCCCCTTCCAGTCCGGGCACTTTCACCCCCTTCAAGTCCGGACACTCCCCCCCCTTCCAGTCCGGACACTTTCCCCCCCCTTCCAGTCCGGACACTTTCCCCCCCCCTTCCAGTCCGGACACTTCCCCCCCCCCCCCCCCCTTCCAGTCCGGACACTTTTCCCCCCTTCCGGTCCGGACACTTTCCCCCCCCCCCCCTTCCGGTCCGGACACTTTCCCCCCCCTTCCGGTCCGGACACTTCCCCCCCCCTTCCGGTCCGGACACTTTCCCCCCCCCCTTCCGGTCCGGACACTTCCCCCCCCCTTCCGGTCCGGACACTTTCCCCCCCCCCCCTTCCGGTCCGGACACTTTCCCCCTACTTCCGGTCCGGACACTTCCCCCCCCCTTCCAGTCCGGACGCTTTAACCCCCTTGCAGTCTGGACACTTTCCCCCCTTCCAGTCTGGACACTTTCCCCCCATTCCAGTCCGGGCACTTTCCCCCCCTTCCAGTCCGGACACTTTCCCCCCCTTCCAGTCTGGGCACTTTCCCCCCCTTCCAGTCCGGGCACTTTCCCCCCCTTCCGGTCCGGACACTTCCCCCCCCTTCCAGTCCGGACGCTTTAACCCCCTTGCAGTCTGGACACTTTCCCCCCTTCCAGTCTGGACACTTTCCCCCCTTCCAGTCCGGGCACTTTCCCCCCCTTCCAGTCCGGGCCCTTTCCCCCCCTTCCTGTCCGGACACTTTCCCCCCTTCCAGTTTGGACACTTTCCCCCCCTTCCTGTCCGGACACTTTCCCCCCCTTCCGGTCCGGACACTTCCCCCCCCTTCCAGTCCGGACGCTTTAACCCCCTTGCAGTCTGGACACTTTCCCCCCTTCCAGTCTGGACACTTTCCCCCCCTTCCAGTCCGGGCACTTTCCCCCCCTTCCAGTCCGGGCCCTTTCCCCCCCTTCCTGTCCGGACACTTTCCCCCCTTCCAGTTTGGACACTTTCCCCCCTTCCAGTCCGGACACTTTCCCCCCCTTCCAGTCTGGACACTTTCACCCCCTTCCTGTCCAGGCCAATTTTGAGCTTTCAGCGCTATCACACTTTGAATGACAATTGCGCGGTCATGCAACACTGTACCCATATGAATTTTTTAGCATTTTTTTGAGACATAAAACTTTTTTTTGGTGGTATTTATTCACCGCTGGGATTTTTATTTTTTTGCTATAAGTGAAAAATTCAAACATTTTGAAAAAATTGTGTTTTTCTTATAACATTTTGCAAATTAATAATCTTTCTTCATAAATCTTGGCCAAAATGTATTCAGATATACTTTTTAGTAAAAAAAAAAAAAAAAATAGTTTATAACCAAAAATTAGTTTTTAAAAAATTGTTTTTATATTTTTTATTGTTTTTATATTATTATTATTTTTTTTTTTTTAACATACTGTCACCCTAGTAGTACAGTGTCACTACTACTTGTGGGGGGTAATGGAGATTTTTTTTTTTTTACACTGATTGCTTTTACACCCATAAAGGCTGTAAAAGCAATTATTTCTCCTTCTCTCTGGCTGCATTCCTGTAGCCATTGAGAAATACTGTGTGAGCTGTGATTGGTCACAGCTTTTCACATGGTACAAGGCTGTTGTGAATAACCCTGTACCATGTGATCTCTGTGATCATTCACAGATTTCACACGTAGTAAGCAATGATGTCAGGAAGTGACATCTTGCTTACTACTCTTCATGTGATCATTGATTGGCTAATCAGTGATCACATGATTGGGACCTCACACAGAGGTCCTGTACATTGATTGATGTTCCACAGTGGGCACCAGATCATGGTGCATGAGCTCCCAGGGAGCATGCACAGGCAGGGAATGAAGGAGGATGTTTATAAATGGCACCCTGCTCTTGCATTGCTCCCGTCCAGCCGTTTCCCTGATGGATAACTATTGTCCTACACCCCTTCCAGGTAAGAAGAGAGACATCCCTGTAGACAAATTCTTGGAAGTTGTGAAAAATTTCCGGAAGAAGGAATTAGCGGACCAGGATGAAGTGGAGGAAGAGAACGCAAACATTTCCCCGGTTGGACGGTACCTGGAATACCAGGTAGGACACCGTACGGTTTGGTGTTCACACATGGCCCAAGAGTTGTCAGACATTCAACAGATTGGAGTCTTCCATACAAAGACAAGACTATGATGGGATTATGGAGAGGATGAGTTCATCCAAGATCTGGAAACTCTTGTTGTACACATAAAATGCCCCCACTAGACTGGAAGTCCTCTGTGTGACCAAGTACAGATTTTTAAAGACTGAAAATTACTTTTAGAATTGGTTTAACATGATGAAGTTTGTATGAGATTTTAATGGTTGGGTTTATATTTACTTCAAGTGATTCCAATATCTCTGTGTAGGATCTTCCCGGGGGGTTGATGAGTTCCTGCACTGTAGGCCAAGCTGAGGAGAACCAAGCTAAGAATCGCTACAAAAAGGTCTTACCATGTAAGTATGAGCTCTCCGATAATGTACTCTACACCAGCGTTTCTCAGCTTTTGTTCAGTCATGGCACCCTTTAATAGGACACACAATCTTGAAGACCCCCCCAGTCTGAAATGTAATAAAATGTAAATGTCTTATCAGGGGGGAAAGTTGAGCCTAGGAAAATGCACACAAGAACCTTGATGAAATTAACATCACATAAGAAGCCCCCATTCACACCAGAGGAGATCTTCCATCACATAAGAAGCCCCCATTCACACCAGAGGAGACATTCTATCACATCAGAGCCTCCTCTTTACTTCAGAGTCCCCTTTAACGTCACAGGCCCCTTTCCTGTTAGAAATTCCCCCATTATGTCAGAGACCCCATCCTGTCAGAGCCCCCCCTTCAAATCAGAGTACTCCATCACAAGTTCCCTCTATACATCAGAGGCCCCCATCACCATAAAATTCCCCATCACAGATTGAAAACCCCCCATCACATGACTTTCCCCCCCTATACATAAAGTCCCCATCACATCAGAGTACCCCATGACAAATTTCCCCTCTTTACATCGCAATATCCCCATTACCATGGAACGCCTCCATCATAGAGTCCTCTCATCTATCTCCGAATCTGGCCAAAATGGGTATTATGCTTGTGGTCCCCCATGGGAATCCAAATGGCACCCCACAGCACTCTGGTTGAGAAACACTGCTCTACACATTGGGGTTGATGTACTAAAGGAGCAGAGAATTGTGTCATGTGAATTGCACCTTTTCACAATATTCTCATTTTCTGAGATTGTGGATTTGGGGTTTTCATGAGCTGTAAGCCATAATCCTCACAATGATGACAAATCACGGCTGGAACTATCTTGCTTTCATGGAATGAGTCTCATATATTAGTTTCACCTTTAAGTTGCTGCACTGAAATAAATGAACTTTTCCACGATATTCTAATTTTTTGAGTTTCACCTGTATGGTGGCTGCCCATTCAAGGTTTATCTCGTGTTGAGATGTGATGAAAAAGGAGAGATTTGGTCTTGGAAATACGTGACCATTTTATTAACAATTTCAATGATCTTGAACTCTTCCATTTTTTTTTTGCTCTGTTCCTCCTTTCTGTGTGTCCTGTTCCCTCCTCAGGAGCTGCTGGATTTTGGTCCCCCCTTCATCTTCATAGCCAGGCAACATCCATTTTCAGAAGGCACACTTAGTCAGATAGCCAGTCCAAAGGCTTTGTTTTTGTTATTTATTAGGGGTAAATAACTTGGATGGGGTTGGGGGGGTCATGAAATGCCCAGAACTTGGTCAATGTGGAACTTTGAGGACAACTTGAGTGATCACAGACTTTTAGCAAAGATCCCAGAATGTACTCCCTCCAAAATATCTGTACATCCTGGCTAGCCAAAAGTCCTAACTTGATTTCAAGTACTTTAATCTTCCCTGCAAAATGCCAGCGCACCTGGCTGCAACTGAGAATTCCCCAAACAAGGGTGGAGGATAACAGTATATTGTCCCTCCTGAACGATAGCTGAATATCACACCAGGCTGCGATCTCCCTTGTACATGTGGCACCCTCCTAGGTAGCTAGGGGGAGCTAGATGATTATTTTTTAGTTAAAGGCTGAGTAGCAGCCCGGTGGAATAGTCAGGGCTGAGAGGCACTGCAGACCAGCTCTCTGGAACTCCCCCCTGATCTAGAGACTTGGAGAAATCTCTAGAGCTCAGTGGGAGGGGTGAGGAGTGGCTGGTCTGCACTCTGAAGGGATCCTGGCCAATCCCCACGCAGGAAGATTGGCATGGGGTCAGGACACCCCTAAAGAGTGACTGGGCCTGCTCAGCAGCAGGAAAGTTTGGGTGGAAGATGGACTGAGCAGGATGGTGTGTGGAGGCTGGAAGGGGGTCAAGGAGAGGGGCCTACCTGCAGGAAGAGGAGCTGGAAGAGAGGATCTCTCAGCCTCACTGTTCCCTGAGGAAGGACAGCCTGGGAAGCAGAGAAGGAGCCAGCCCAGCATAAGGCCTGAAGGCAGCCACCAACCCACAAGCTTGCAGGAGAGACTGAGTGAGTAACGCCATACCCCCTGGAGGAATTATGGAAGGAGACAGCCCAGCAGAAGGCCTGAAGGCAGATGTCAACCTGCAGCTTGCAGAAGAGGGACAGTGCTTCAACATTTCCTGGACTGGAGTAGGGGAAAGGGCATTCGGGTGTGAAACCTGACTAACCCCCATCTGGAACTTCTTTCATTTAAGGTGGCAGCTTCTGGGACCTCTTGGCCAGGGATTCCCTCGGGCAGCTGGATGAAGAGGAGATTTCATCTGGGGTCTGAGGAGGTACAAAAGAGAAGCTGGCTAGCTCTCCAAGGAGAGAAAAAATCCTTTCTGACTACATGTACATAGTTCCAGGAAGTTTTCCTCAGTTTTACAGTTCCTTGGACATCCCACCCCATCCAAGTTATTTACCCCTTAATAAGATCCAAAAAACCAAGTTCAAGGACTGTTTGCTGTCACTGGAGTGCAAGTCTGGAAGGAAATGCGTGTTGCCTGGCTGTGCAGAACTATAGGGGGACCCATATCTCTAGTGACTCCTAAGGGGGTAGCGCTACATAGCTCTGGGGGGTGAAAAGTGTGTAGAAGAACTTCAAGGACAACTGTGGCTAAACTGTTTTCTTAGCACAAAACTCCAGATTGTGTTCTCAGATGAAATTACTTTTAACAGACTGGTATAGCACTTCCAATACTGATCCCAGCACTGGCACATTAGCACAAGAGTATCCCAAGCAGGGGTTGAAGGTCAAAAACTGTCCCTCCCGGATGGTTAGCTGGGTATTGCACCTGGCTGCCTCTCCTCTATAGGCTTGGGTGGTGAAACAGACTAACTTAGTCCCTTTTATTCCTGCCGCATAGATGGCAATTTCTGTCCAGATGCCAGGCCTTGACAGGGTGGTCTCAATCAGTCAAGAAGGAGACTGAAGGGGGTGAGGGCTCCTCTCAACTTCCTTCCTCCTTTCTCTCAGCACACTGTCTCTCTCTTATGTTTCTGCCCGGAGAGCAGAGCCCCCCAGCACAGGGTCCCATTCAGGCCTCTGGATCCTGGATTCTATCCCCACATGACCAGGCTCCTAAGAATATATGAGCCAACTCTCCACCTTCTGGACTCTAACCTACACAGGGAATGGTAGCACTCCCATAAATATTCAGGCTTCTATCTCTATACTTCCACCCACTAAGTTCTGGAAGCTTCCAGAAGCCAGGGGGAGGTGACAGAGGCTCAGCCCTCATAGCTGGCCAGCTAACCTGTAAACAACCCCAAATAACCCTGACTTGCACTAGCAGTGAAGCTGAACTAAACTTACCTAACCTATCCACACTATGTACACAAGGGGGTGCTTCATATGTTTCTAAGGTTTGTGTTCTGTTTACAATGTAACTTTATGCATTGACCAACCATCCATAGACCCATCCCAGCTCCTCTTTAATATGTGTTTTTTAATATTTTTATTTAACGGTTTTGACCATATACAATGAGATACAGAAGCAGTAAGGTACAATCACTGTGTTCTGAATACTAAGAAGCAGAAACGGTGTGGGCGGGGCTTAAAAGGGAACTCTAAACTCTTCTTTTGCTAATGCCCAACCATGTAGGTGGAGGCCACGGTCATGGGGAAATCTGCATTAAAGCGGGACTCCTACTTAGAAATGAGCACTTGTTGTGGCACAATTAACCTGTCAAGTCTCACTCACTTCATAGGGATTTTACATGACTGACTGTACACAGACTTCCTTCCATGGTGCAGCACTTGTGAGGGGATACTGTGGAACCTTCATCCTGCCCTCCAGCCCAGCTTTGATGCCATTTCACAATCAGTGACTTGCTATTGAGGATCCCTCTTGCATTTTCTCTCCCTTGACACACAGCTAGATACATGGGGACTCCGTGTTGTGGTTCCGGTCCTGGGTATGGGGCACCGGCCACTAGGGATGGGGTTCACTTAGTAACCTCCTTGTGACCAGAGCACACCGTCATCCTTACCTAGTCACATGGTACACACCCCCCACTGGCAGCTTAAGCACCGAACACTCCACTGGTTACTCATGGCAATTAGATCTGTTACTTGCAGTATTCTCCACTCGTGAACCTTTGTTGTTTATCCCTTGTTATAAGCCCTGTTCTTTTGTTACGCCATGCATTGCATCTTCTTGACAGACGTCAGACCAGGCATTTTAAGAAATAACAAATATTTTTACTGAAGTAGTGCAAAGGCATACAGGAAGCGGTTTCTTCCAAAAGCAACTTCACCTATATTCCTGTACAGGTTCTCAAAGTGCCCCCATAACGTGCCTGTACTTTAGGCCAGATTAGGCAGATGGTAAGTTCATTCAAGCAATCCCACCAAGGCAAGAGTCCCATTTAGATAGTGAATCCAGAGGTAGCAAGTAGTCCTTTACAGTCCATGATCTGGCAGTAATCCACAAAGTCAATGGGTGGCAGCTAAAAGTCCATAGGAGTTCTCAGCCCCATAGGGAACCCCAAACTGGGCCCCCAGAAAGGGGCATAGTCTGCCAGAGTGACAGAAGTCCCGATTCTTAGATCATCTTACATCCTAATAAAACAAAAAATACAAAAAATGTCCACTGTCCCCAGTCTATAAACTGGCCTTCACAGCAAGGAGCACATGGAAAAGTGATGCATGTCAAAAAAATTTCTTTTTCAATCAAGAGAAAAATTCCCAGCTCAGCTTGCCAACCAATACACACGTAAGGCGCTACAGAGCCTCGTCACAGCACCCCGATGTCCTGTAGTTCCTAACTCTACAAATTTTGAGAGCCCCCATAGTAGAGGCATGTATTTAATGGATAGACCAAGGACAGGTGGACCTGAGGGAGCCCACCCCTCCTTAAAGGTACAGGGAGCTCACTCTGGACACCCAGCATGTAGCACAATGGCAGCTAAGGTGTCCAGTGTACCCCTTCAACCAAAAATTCAACAGTACAAAAAATGAACCACTGCCCCAGTCCATAACTGGCCTTCACAGCAAGGAGCGCATGGAAGGGCGACACATGTCATAACAACAAGAGAGAAATTCCCAGCTCTAACTTGCCAACCAGCCTGCAAACAATCTGAATTATCCTGTCTGACATTATGCGTTCAAAAACAGGGGTTTAGTTAGCACACATTTGCAAAATACATGCGTAAGCCACAGAGACTCGTCATGGCACCCTGATGTTCTGTAATTCCTAACTCTACAAAATTGGGGTTGGAAAGTCTCGATATTCTGATCAGCAGAGTGTTTCATATTCTCAGTATACAAATGTGCCGTACCTGGGGGTATCATGACTTCTGTCTTTGTTATCCAGATGATGATTCCCTCGGGTGGTCCTGAGGTCTGGTCCCTCCAGATCAAGATTATATAAATGCCTCCTACGTTGATGTAAATTGAGGAGACTCTATCCAGATTTGTTCCCTGTATATATCTATTCCATAAATAAACTGTACAATTACAGTATATGTGTGTCAAATATCTTATTTCCCAGGGATGACAAAGCTCCAAAAATTATACATAGCAACTCAAGGTGTGAGTGACCGCTCACATACATATTATACTTGTGTGCACCAGATAAAGGTCCTACATATCAGACTCTGCTATCAAGGCTTCATACTGCCCCAGTTGCCATGAGGTCATCACGTAATATCACTGTAAGTTTTGTAGGCCAGAACTTAAGCAAAGCTCCAGTCAAAATCTAAAAAATTAAGTCAGCAGCTACACAAACTGTATCTGCTGGTTTTTAGAGGAAACAGGCACTCACCTGTCCCTCGATCCAGCATTGTCCTCACGCAGCCGGTTTGCACTGGCCATTCTCGCTCGATGCATCCTAAGTGTGGGCACCCAGCTGTAGCAGCTTGCGACTTCACAGCTGGGTGGGTGCCCATGGTACATACACGAGTAGCGCTGTGCCTTGTGAATGGTCCTGTAGTCTTCTGGGATCTGTCACGATGTTCCAGAAGACTACAGGGAGAGAGGAAGGACAAACTTCTGCTTCTGACTCGCCTAGGCGTATCGCAGTGGGATCGGGTACCTGCTACCCCAAGGATGCCCAGGATCCCAATACCAGGGGAGTGGGAGATAAAGCCTTAAAGCGGAAAACTTTTAGTGTGGAGCTCCACTTTAAGTCTGTATGTAAAGGGATGCAGAGCCTGGGAATTTGTAGCTCATATATCCTCAGTAATGGGTTGAGTAAGATCTGTACAGCCAAGTCTTCTACATGGAATGTATTTTATAACAGCAATTTCATTAATGAACATTTGTCCCTTCAGGAATGTTGTGGAAGGTGTTTATGATCATTTATTTCAGACTTATTACTCGTCTCCAGGTCCCCTATCCTGAGACTCTGGCAGACTTCTGGAACATGGTGTGGCAGGAGAACAAACGTTCCGTCATTGTCATGCTGACGGGATTGCAGGAGCAGAACAAGGTGAGGTGATGAATAGTGAAGGAGCGGTGACTATGGATGTGAGGACAAATGAAGCTGAGAGAGATAGGAATCTTTGATAGAATATAGCGAAGGGTAAATAATGGATAGTGAATGTGTGGTGTGTGATAAACAAAACGTGAGATGTCCAAGAAGACAAGGTCAGGTTGTAAAAGGCTGACAAAGTAGACCACAGTGAACTTGAGTTGGTAAAATAAAAGTGAGATAAATATTCAGTGAAAAAAGAAAAAGTGTAGTCAGTTGATTGTAGTTCATGTGAGTATTATTCAGAGGAAAATAAGAAAAGTGTAGTCATGGTGAATAGTGAAGGTGGAATGGTAGAAAGAGAACATGAGGACCGTGGCAGTAAAGATAGAAAAAATAATAATGTGTGAGATAGTGGGCTCATGAAGATAAGATTGTGGACCATGAAGCTGAGATGGTGGGCCATGATAATTAAGATGATGGGCACAAAGTATGGAATAGTGGATAATGAATATGAATAGTTGAACAGTGAAAAAACATTGGTTAGTGGGAACACGAAACTGAGTGATGTATCATGATAATAAGATGGTGGGCCATACTGTGGTGAGTTGGTAAACCATGAGACTGAGAGGACAGACCATTGAGACTGAGATGGTGTGCCATGATAATAAGATAGTGGGGCCCAAGTATGGAATAGTTGATAAGGAGTGTGATATGTGAACAATGAGTATTGAAATGGTGGACCCTCTGCTGAGATGATGGACATGATAATTGAGATGATGGGCCATTTGAATGAAATGTTGGACCTTAGGGACTGAGATGGTGGATGGAAAACCAACGTGACTTGGGCTCCTGGAGGGGCCTGGGGGGCCTCCTCTTTCCCACCTGACATATTGGACCCTTATCGGCCTGAAGGCGATCCCCGATCCCCGTCCGTGGAATTACATGGAACCTTTTCCCCAAGAGGGTCATATTCACTTCCCTTGGTATCTGCTGCCCATGAATTATACCAGCTACCCTTTCCATGCAATTAGAGCTGGAGGGAATCTGTTTTCTGGAACCCCTTGGCATACTATTCATAATGGAACTATGTGCAGGGGGATGAATTCCAGCATATGTGGGCTAAGAAACTTTATTGTCATGTGAACAGGTTTCCTGGCACCAACTATTGTTTGCTGTAATTAGGTTTGTGTCATAATCTCTTTCCCTTTTTTTTTATCACCTCCTAGACTGGAGACTGCTAGGTGCTGGAAACGAATCCATTGTTTTCTTGATTGTTTGTTTGCATATGTAGTGTAATTTTCTCCTGTACTTGTAATTATGTGCCATACCTGTATAGGGGAAGATTTTTTTATATAATTGCTGTGCTGTTTGTTAATAAATCAGTACTGGGTTTGTTTCCAACATATGCCATGATGCTTATTAGAATTTTGCTTATCTGTTCCAAGATTATGCTGATGGCTTGGAGTAAATTTGCTTTATTTCTGGTTCCAAAAATGGAGGAAGCTGTAGTTTGATGGAGATATCCAGTAGGGATGCCAGGCAGTCGATCACATTTGGTGGCCGCAAGTGGGTATCTGCTTCTTCCCTACAGCAGTCCCAAAACCACCAATGGGACCCAGTGTTGGATGATTTTGCAGAAGTGTTCCAAGAGCCGGTCCCATGGAAGAAAGAGTTCCAGTGGTGAATGAAAGCGACATTCACAGTAAAAGAGAGCTGGTTCTGCTGGGACGTAGGTGGAATTGAGAGACGCGATCCCGCCAGAAGCTCTGGAGGGAGGTACTTTAGGTGGAGCAAGACCGTTATGGGAAAGGTCTTCCTATGGCCCATGGGATCAGTACTGGTTGCAACTGAACTTGTGTATACTGTTCTTAGACGAGCGCATCTCTCGAGGAATGGCTGATGGAGCTGGATAGGCTGGTGCTGATGCTGGGTGATGGGTATCGGGTACTGCAATGGTTATGCCACCGCAGTGAGTCCATCGCTGGAGACAATCCATAGAAGGCTATGACTTTGGTGCCTGGGATGATATTTTGAGATGTTCAGGAGGGATCTGCAGTTTGGTAGTGCAGAGGAGTAAAGATGGGAGTGGGACAGCAGATGAGTTTTTAGGGAGTTGGTTTTAGACCTTCTAGTGAGCTTGGATTGAGCAGTGACTTGGACTTTATTAGTCATACAAGAATGAGGCAGGAAAAAGGCACATAAGAAGACTGTTTGAAGTGAAGCTCACACATTATGCCCCCAGCACCCATGAATGTTCATTTCTTATGGAGGTCACCTACTCGAAGCACTGGCTGGGCCTGAGTGCTGCCAGCTTGTGCCTTAGATCTTGAGCAATTCTGGAGCAGCAGGGAGGGGAGGAAGCCTTCCTCACTCCCCAGCGGCTAGTAGTCCTGAGATGCAGAAGGTAGCTGTTTTCCCTCTCCAGTGGCAGTTAAGAGTCTCAAGAGAAGAGAAGTTTTCCTCCTCCACCCCATCAGCCTGCAGAGCGGAGGATGTGGGTGTTTTATCCCCAGCAGAAGCACTGACAAAGGGCAGAGTGCAAACAACTTTGCCAGCACCAGAACATCTACAGGGCAGGTGGCCCCATCCCCCAAGTGATAGGCTGATGTAATTAAGCTCCAACTCCCAGCTGAAAGCGCTGGCAAACAGGACACAGAGTGCCACTGGCCTGTGCCTCAGCACCTACTGTGCCTTCATGGCTCCAGGGAGTTAGGGCAGTTGGCCCCTTCAGCATCAGATCAAGCCCTGGAACCTGTAAAGATCTCCAGCTGAAGTGCTGGCAACCGGACAGAGCATCCATAATTTCTGCTCCACACTTACAGCAACACAGAAAACTCAGGGAGAAGCCATCGTCTGTGCTTCTCCCAGCAGTCAAGGCAGTAGATCATGTGGAGCTGACTATGTCGGATCCATACTGCCCCGACTAATGAAGATCCAGACCATGTTGGGGGTCTGAGACCTGGTTAGTCTACCTTGGGTTGGGGCTAAGAAATGTCACAGAAACCACCGTGACTTGTGCTCTGGAGGGGCCAGCCTCCTTTCCATCCAACCGACTAAGGACCAAGACTAAGGAGACCCACCTCTTGAAGTTACAAGGAATCACTTTTCCCCAAGAGGTTTATACCCCTTCCTGAGTATCTGGCTGGCAGTGAATCATACTTGCTACATTTTCCATGCAATTAGGGCTGGAGGGACTGTTTCTAGGACCCCTTGGCATACTGTGCATAGTGTAACTTTTATCCTGGAGCGATGTGTTATGTGGGGGGGGGGGGGGGGAGATTCCAGTATACATGGGGTTAAGAAACCCTATTTTCTGTGACAGGTTTCCTGGCATCAGCTGTTGTTTTCTGTAATTAGATTTAGGTGATAAACCTTTGTTTAATCACTTCCAGAGTTCAGACTTCCAGGTGTCTGGAAGAAATCCATTGTTTTCTTGTGTTTGATTGTTTGATTTTTTTTTATGTAATGCAATTTTCTCCTGGGACTTGTAGTGTGTGCCATACCTGTCTACGGGGAAGGTTTTTGTGTATAAATTCTGTTCTGTTTCTTAATGAAGTCAGTCCTGTTTTACTCCAACATTGGTTCTGTCTGATGCCTGGAGTAAATTTGCTGTATTCTGGTTCCAGGGGTGAGGAAGTTGTAGTTTGGTGGAGATACCCAGTCAGGGTGTCAGACAATTTGTCACAGTGGACCCTGAGAATGAGGTGGTGGACTGTAAAGTGGATGTGGATATGGACCCTGAAGCTGAGGTGATGTGCCATAAAGAGATAATGTGCCATGATAATGAGATGGTGATCCATAAGTATAGGATGGTGTACAGTGAGTAAGGAATGGTGGACTGTGGGTATGGAACGGTGAGCTGTGGGTATGGAAGAGTGGACTGTGAGTACGGAAGAGTGAACTGTGACTACGAAAGAGTGAACTGTGAGTAAGGAAGGGTGGACTGTGAGTAAGGAAGGGTGGACTGTGAGTAAGGAAGGGTGGACTGTGAGTACGAAAGGGTGAACTGTGAGTACGGAAGGGTGGACTGTGAGTAAGGAAGGGTGGACTGTGAGTAAGGAAGGGTGGACTGTGGGTATGGAAAAGTGGACTGTGATGGGTATGGAAGGGTGGACTGTGATGAGTACGGAAGGATGTACTGTGATATGTACGGAAAGGTGGACTGCGATGAGTATGGAAGGGTGGACTGTGATGAGTACGGAAGGATGTACTGTGATATGTACGGAAAGGTGGACTGCGATGAGTATGGAAGGATGGACTGTGATGTAGTATGGAAGGGTGGACTGTGGGTATGGATCTGTGGGTATGGAAGGGTGGTCTGTGGGTATGGAAGGGTGGACGATGAAGGAGAGATTATAGACTGGAAAGATGCTGGACAGTAAAGGTGGATGTGATGTTGTCCAGATGGTGTAACTCTTCCTGCTTGTAGACCCTCCGTTTCTGCTCAGGGTCCTATTTTGTAAAAGTGGTGCAGTACACAGTACTTAAAGCAGTACCAGTAACCTGCATCTGTCCCCTGAATGTACTCTTCTGCCACTAGATGTCCTCAGTCTCCTGAGTTTTTAATGATGGATAGAATCAGACAACCCATTTCCTCTGAGCCCAAGCCATCATGGATCCAGCCCAAGCCATCATGGATCCAGCCCAAGCCATCATGGATCCGCCCCCAGCCCCTGACTGGATAATGAAATGTGAAGCAGCACTTGGATGAGCTCCGCTCTTTTTTACTCTGTTCTCACATCCTATCAGCATAGTCATTGTCAATACATGAGCTGATTGGCCTCTGGTGCTGCTTCTCAAACCCAAAGTCTGATCTGCTGTTGTCCAGTGAGTGCAAAAGCTGATACCAGGTGACATTCCAGTACTGACACTGCTTGTATTTATAAAACACACGGAATGACGTGTTCATGATTACAGCGCTGCATTGGTCTGTGTCTTTTATGTCTGCAGTTCAGATTTATTTATAAAAATCCCAACTCATTTCAGTTTTAAAATGTTGAATCCCCTCAGGTCAAATGTGAGAGTGCTACTGGCCGGAGCAGAGCCAGCCCTACGGTGACATCACAGTGTCTGTCCAGAAAATCACCCAGACTGCCGCCATCATCACCCGCACCTTCAGCCTGAAGAAAGTAAAGATTTTATTATTTTTTATGAAATCCTAAAAATAGAAAAAATGTAATAGAACCAAAAATTCTATTTTTCTATTTTTTCTATTTATATTCTTTTTTTGTTCTAATTTGTCTCATTGAAATGGAACTAAAACTATGCAACAAAGCATTGCAAAATTATTTACAAATTATTTATTTATATTTTTGCATTTTTGTGCTTTTTTTTATAATGTAAAACTAAAATACTAGCAAACAAAATAAAAACAAAAAAAAATTTAATTATTGATTAATAAAAATAGAAAAAAAATCATTAGGAAACTAAAGTTGAAAGGAAAAAAAGGAAGTAGGAAATAATCAGGGCTGGTTAGGATACACTAAAGGTTAATAAGGGGTTAAACAGACACATTTTATTTTTTTAAACAATGTTACTTTGTATCTCTCTATCTCCCATCTGATCGATGTTTATAAACAATGTTACTTTGTATCTCTCTATCTCCCGTCTGATCGATGTTTATAAACAATGTTACTTTGTATCTCTCTATCTCCGGTCTGATCCATGTTTATAAACAATGTTACTTTGTATCTCTCTATCTCCGTCTGATCGATGTTTATAAACAATGTTACTTTGTATCTCTCTATCTCCCGTCTGATCCATGTTTATAAACAATGTTACTTTGTATCTCTCTATCTCCGTCTGATCGATGTTTATAAACAATGTTACTTTGTATCTCTCTATCTCCCGTCTGATCCATGTTTATAAACAATGTTACTTTGTATCTCTATCTCCCGTCTGATCGATGTTTATAAACACAATGTTACTTTGTATCTCTCTATCTCCGGTCTGATCCATGTTTATAAAACAATGTTACTTTGTATCTCTCCACCTCTCGTCTGATCGATGTTTATAAACAATGTTACTTTGTATCTCTCCATCTCCGGTCTGATCGATGTTTATAACCAATGTTACTTTGTATCTCTCCATCTCTCATCTTTTCGATGTTTATAAACAATGTTACTTTGTATCTCTCTATCTCCCGTATTTTTTTATTTTTTTATTTAAATATTTATTAATTTTCCATACAAAATACATGTTCCATCATTACTCTCATATAACATACAAAACCATCATTTATATCCCTTTCTATCTTTATTCCCATTGCCTCCCCCACCGCCTATCTAATACCCCCACCCACCCTAAAAACCTACACCCACCCCACCCATAAAACCCACCCACTCTGCATTTCTCCATTACATCTTTTCTTAAATATTTTCACATATCCCTTTCTACTGCTTCATATATTTCACCTTGGACACAAAATCTTCCCATTTTCCCCATCTCCTATAATATACACCAATCTTGTCTTCTTGCATATAATAGAGTTTCTCCATTCTACGTATCTGATTCACTCTTTCCGCCCAAATCCTCTTCTCTCGGCACCTCTGAACTATGCCAAAACTTAGGTTTCAGAGCCTTTGCCGCATTTAGATAATACCATGTGCCCGAATCCTTGTATTTGTTCACTGATAACTCTGTACCATGTAACAGACACGACTCTGGATCCAATCCTATCTTTATCCCAGAGATTATCCCAATTAAGCGAACCATTGTCTCCCAAAAACCTTGAATCTTTGGGCACTCCCACCATATGTGATATAACGTACCTATCTTTCCACACCCCCCGCCAACACTCTGGTGTATTCTCCCCACTCATCTTATATTCTACGTTCGGTGAAATGTGCCATCTTGTTAAACATTTATAATATTCCTCCACCTCTCTCATGCTAACGTTCTTGTGTGTTAATCTATATATTTTCCTCTGTTTATCTTCATCTATCTCTATTCCCAAATCCCTTTCCCATTTTGTTATGTACATTGGCTTTGTGTGTGTGTCTAACTCAGTGAGAATCCTATAAACTCTCTTGCCGTGCCCCGTTTCCCATCTCCACGTGATTCCAACAGCTTCTCAAATATATTCCAATCCTTTCTCAGTCTCAAAGGTTTCAGAAGACTCCAAACAAAGTGTTTCAATTGGTGATATCTCCACTCATCTATCTTAACCACTTCCCGACTGGCTGTTGCATATAAACGGCCAGACGGTGGCACTGCAGGGTCGGGTGGCCGTTTATAAACGGCCTCCCCGCACCCTGCTTGTGCGGGCTCCCTGGGAGCGCGCAGCACCGCGATCCGGTGCCCGCTGTGTCCTCTGGACACAGTGAAACACCGATTGTCGGACGGGACCTCTATACGAGGTCCCGATCATGTGATCACTGATTGGCCAATCAGTGATCACATGCAAAGTAGTAAGCAAGATGTCATTTGTGACATCATTGCTTACTACGTGTGAAATCTGTGAATGATCACAGAGGTCACATGGTACAAGGCTATTCACAACAGCCTTGTACCATGTGACAAGCTGTGACCAATCACAGCTCACTCAGTATTTCTCAATGAGTGCAAGAATGCAGACAGAGAGAAAGAGAAATGATTGCTTTTACATCCTATATGGGTGTAAAAGCAATCAGTGTAAAAAAAAAAAAAAAATCTTCATCACCCCCCACAAGTAGTACAGTGTCACCATGGTGACACTGTACTGCTAGGGTGACAGTATGTAAAAAAAATAAATAAAAATAAAAAATAATATAAAAAAATAAAATAAAAATGTAAAAAAAAATGTTTAAAAATAATAATTTTTGGTTATAAACTAATTTGGATTTTTATTTTTTTTTACTAAAAAGATAACGGAATAAATTTTGGCCAAGATTTATGATGGAATATTATTTATTTGCAAATTTTATAAAAAAAAAAAACACTTTTTTCAAAATTTTGGGAATTTTCCCATTTACAAAGCAAAAAAAATAAAAATCCCAGCGGTGAATAAATACCACCAAAATAAAGCTTTATCTGTCTCAAAAAAATGGTAAAAAATTCATTTGGGTACAGTGTTGCATGACCGCGCAATTGTCATTTAAAGTGTGATAGCGCTGAAAGCTGAAAATTGCCCTGGTCAGGAAGGGGGTAAAAGTGTCCGGTCTGGAAGTGGTTAATAAATAGTTCCCTTTTATCCTTTTTTTCAAGTCCTTAAGAGTTCTCAGTTCCTGCCCTTCCATAATATCTTTCAACTGAATATCCTCCTTTTTAAACCATTTTCCTGTGCTCTCCTCCCTCCCTGGGGGAAAATACTCCGTGTTCCTCAGTGACATTAATTGTGAGTTAAAATCTCACTTCATAAACTTGTGCAATTTATCCCAAACCCTTAAAACATTTAATGTATAAACACTTGTGGTATCTTTTAATCCTCTATATTGTGCTGGTGCCCACATTACTCAAGTTAACTCCGCTTAGTTCATTTTCAATTTTAACCCACCTTTTCCCCTCTGGATTGTGTGTCCAGTCATAAATTCTTGCAAGAACTGCTGCTCTATAATACCTCTTGATATCTGGCACTCCCAATCCTCTCTTCTCTTTATTTCTACTCAACAAGTCATAAGATATTCTGGGTTTTTTATCTTTCCATATATATCTTGTTAACATCTTCTTAATTACCTTAAAAAAAACCTCCGGAAGCCTAATTGGGATCATCTGGAATTTATATAGGATTTTAGGTACGATTACCATTTTTATCAGATTTATGCGCCCTATCCAAGATGGGTTGCCTCCTCCTAATTTCTTTAGTTCCTCTTAATCTCATTTAAAAGTGAGATATAATTTATCTTATACAAAATCCATATGTGAAGCAGTGAGTTTAACCCCTAGATGTTTTATCTCTCTATTTTTCCCAAATAAAAGGGAATTCTTTTTGTATCTTTTCTTTTTCACTATTTGGAAGATTTACATTTAAGATCTCAGTTTTTGTTGAGTTAATTTTCAAATTTGATAACTCCCCATAATCCTTTAAGCTCTTCATTAAATTTGGGAGTGTCATCCTAGGATTTCCCACATAAAACAACAGAAGGCAGCCACTTTATGTTCTATTCCTGTATTCCTTTTATTTCCATATTATTCCTAATTGTTGCCAGTAAGGGTTCCAATGATAATACATACAACAATGGGGACAGTGGGCATCCCTGTCTTGTTCCATTTGACATCCCGATAGGTTCCGACCTCACTCCATTAACCAATATAACTGCGGAAGGGCTTTCTATACAGCTTTCCTATCCACTCTCTCATTCTAACTCCCAATCCTAGAGTCTCCAGAGTGTCTATCATAAAACTCCAATCCACTCTATCGAAAGCTTTCTCAGCGTCAATTGAAAGCACCACCGCCGGAGTTTTCCCCTTCCTGGCTTTTTGGATAAGCAACAGAGTTCTCAACCCATTGTCTCTACCCTCCCTCCCTGGTACAAATCCCACCTGGTCTCCCTGGATCCATTCTGGCATTAAATCTTTCAGCCTATTTGCCGAAACCTTTGCATATAACTTAGTGTCTATGTTCAACAGTGAGATTGGTCTATAGCTAGAGCACTGAGACGCATCCTTCCCCTCCTTTTGAATAAGTACCACATGGGCCTGTAGAGATTCTCGCCTCATCTCCATCTCTCCACCTAGAGCGTTCATATATTTCTTCACATTCGGTATCAACAATTCACTATATTTTTTATAGTACCTCGCCGTATAACCATCTGGTCCTGGATTTTTCCCAGTCATGGTACTTTTTCATGCTACTTTTATTTCCTCCTGCGTAATTTATAAATCGAGGGACATCAATTGCTCTTCACTTAACTTCGATAGCCCAGCGTTTTTTAAGTATTTCCTTCTTTTTTCTCTACTCACATTCCCACTTTTATTTATTGAATCCTGGGAAGTAATATTATACAGCTTGCTATATTATTCCTTAAACACCTTGGCGATCTCTTTGGTAGAATATGAACCATTTCTCCCGTGGGGTTTCTTATTTTTTCTATATAATTCCTGTTTTTTCTTTTTCCTCAAAGCTCTCATTAAATATTTTCCTGGTCTATCTCCCCATCTATACCTCTCACTTGCCACTTTATTAAAAACTCTTCTCCTCTCCTCTTCCATCAGTATCTCTAGTTCTTCTTTCTTTTTTATTATCTTCTGTCTTATCTCTTTTGTTATTCTATTTTATGTATCTGCTCCAGGTCAAATATTTTATTTCAACAGCCCAGTAAGTTTCTCTTTTCTTTCCCTCTTCTTTTTTGCCCCAGACACTATCAGTATACCTCCTATATAGGCCTTGTGGGACTCCCATACTGTGGCTGCCGACACTTCCCCTTTCTCATTCTCCTGAAAAATTTCTTCTCTTCTCTAATCTTCTGATCAATCTCCTGATCCAAGAGAAGAGCCTCATTCAACTTCCATCCAATACCCCCTGTCCTCCGCCTCCCCCACCCTAATCTCAATATAACAGGAGCATGGTCTGAGAGAGACATTGCCTCTATCTCTACTTTAGCCACCATCTCAATAAGTTGATGATCCACCAATATATAGTCCAATCTCGAGTACATCTCGTGTGCATTAGAGAAGAAGGTATAGTCTCTCTCTTTTCCATGTATCCACCAGTTAGCACTCATGCATCACCTTCTTTAAAATTCTCAGAGACCTACCTCCCTTTCGCTGCACAGGAGAGGTCGTGTCCATTTTTGGATCCACACAAAAGTTCAAGTCCCCCACCACTATCAAACACCCCTTTTTAAAGGCCATCAATTTTCTCAAAACACCTTTCAAATACAACTCCGGTCTCTTATTTGGGCAATAAATATTCACGATTGTACATTACATTTCCTGCAACCTACCTCTCAAAAACAAAAATCTCCCCTCTGGATCTGTTACTCTTTTTTCCAGCTCAAGCCTTATATTTTTTGCAAACCCTTTTGCTACTCCCTTTGCTCTCCTAATTGGGGAATCTGCATAATACCATGTTGGATAGTTTCTAGAATTCAACTTAATATTTGACTTGATCTCCAGATGTGTCTCCTGCAAAAAGACCACAGAAGCTTCTCTAAATTGCAACTCCTTAAATAGCTTAAATCTTTTCCCAGAACAATTCAACCCATTTACGTTATATGTTATAAACCGTAGCTCTTCCATATTTCTTGTATCTTTTTTGTTCTCCTCAATTTCCTCTTTTCCACCCTCAATTCCCTTGTACTACCCTTCCTTATGCAGAGTGTTATTTTTAGTACCCCCCTCCCCATTCCCTCCTATCCACCCTCCCCTGTTACTCCCTTCCCTCCCCTCCCACCCCCCCCCCCCCCCCCCCCCAGTACCCACCCCCCCACCACCCCTCCCATTTTTAGGCCTCTAATTTGCCTATTAATCATTTGTGGGTCTCTACCCACCCTTGATTAAACCTTAGGGTTGAACTCCACTCATGAACGGCACTACCTCCTTCCAACCACCCCAAATACCCTCCATCTATCTATTTATTTCTGTTAACTTTATTTTTCACGGTGCGTGAGGAGAAAAAAAAAAATCCCACTGAGACGTCATCTAGAGGAAGCGTCATCGGGAGGAAAAAATGGTGCGGGGATAGAGAGAGAGAGGGAGAGAGAAAAAAAAAAAACACACATGTCCCCAACACCTCTCTACTCCTCCTCATTACCCTTATCTAACAATCTTCCAAGCCTCCTTTCCACTAACCTCCATTTCTCCCTCTTCTTCCCACCCACTAATAACTGTTCTATGTAATTCCAATCTATCGCAAAAGTCTCTCAGGTCCTCTGGAAATCTCAGGTATGCTGTAACACCATTCTTCCATCCGATTAAACTCTCTGGTTTACCCCATCTATAGTGTACATTCCGTTCTCTCATCTGCTCAAGTAGGGGTTTCAAAGATCTCCTTCTCCATAAAGTCTCATGTGATAAGTCCTCAAAGATCTGAATGTTCATTTCTCCATACTTAATAGATGTTTTTCCTTTAATCCTTCTCCAAATCTCCTCCTTATCCCCATACTTGTGCAGCTGAGCAATTGTATCTCTTGGTTTTTCCTTCTCCTTTCCTTGGTGAAACTTTTCTGATCTATAGATTCACTTCAACTTGACCAACTCTGTTTCAGGTCTATCCAGAATGGAGTTAAAAATTTTACAAACTGTTTTTCTCAATTCTTCTCCTTTAAAGATTTCTGGGACTCCTCGTATCCTAAGGTTGTTTCTCCTATCTCTATTTTCTTGTACTTCATCTTATACAGCAATTGTTTCTGAGTGTTCCCAATAGTAGCAATCCTTTTCCCTAGATCTGAAATGTTTTGGGTATGATTTTTAATGTTTCTTCCACTCTCAATAACAAATGCCCCAAATCCTGTCGTATAGTTGTCATTTCTTGCTTTAAGGCTTTTTCCAGATTTTTAAACATTTCTGCCATTTCTCTTTTATTCGGTATTTGTAAGTCATTTTCCAGGTCCTTCCTCTCTATATTTTCTGACCTTTGTTGGCTGCTACTATTCAGGCCCACGATAATCTAGGGCTATTTTACAGGCTGATTTCCATTTCCCCTTTTTCACTTCCACCTTGGGACCTTTCTGGAGTCACATTCCCCTGGGACGTATTTTTTTTAATCGTACCTGTCTGGGACCCTTTAAGTCCGCTTCCTTTTCACCCTTATTCTTCATCCCTTCTGTGAATCTATTTCTCTTTAGACAGCCTAATGGGAGACTTTAGGATATATATTAGAGTTCTTTTCCTCTTCTCTTCCCAAGCCAGTAATCTCTTATCTTCTTCCAGATGTCTTAAAATCCCCCTGGGAATCCCCCTGGGAATCCCCCTGCTCTTCTTTACAGGATTTTTTACATATCACACAGTCCAAGACACCATAGAATTCACATTTTACTATTAACTTAGGCCTTCTTCACTCACCCTCCTTCATGTATATTCTCCTGTGAGCTGGCCCCAGACCACGACTGTCCACCTCTCTCTCCTAGAATATGTCCCGGGGGATTCCTACAGGGATCCTTCAGTCCTCTGACGTCTGCTGATGGATGTTCAACCGCTGCCTCCACTGCTTCTGCTGCCCGGTGGGTTAGGGAGTAAGTCGACCTCTTCCTCTCCTCTCTGAATGCCAGCCGGCTTCTCCCCTTCCCAATGCTCCTTTGCGGCAGACCATGTGGTCACGCCGCATCACTCCGTCACCTCGGCAGCTCCACTGTCGTCTCTCAGGTCTTCGGGGGATCGTCTCCTAGGGATCGGGGCCAGTCTCCACTCCCGCTCCTCTCCCAGCTCCAGCATCTCACGTCCCAGGCCCAGCCGACTCAGGTAGGGCTCCATGCACCGCTACATGCGGGTTCTCGGGGTTGCGGCTATGGAGGTTTACCAAAGAGCACTCACCGCATGCTCTCCTGCACCGCCATGCTCAGGCTCCGCCCCTCTCTCTCCCATCTGATCGATGTTTATAAACAATGTTACTTTGTATCTCTCTATCTCCCATATGATCGATGTTTATTAACAATGTTAGAGCAAGCAAATACAAACCTTATATATGATGAGGTCAGTGAGCAGCATTACAGCAGTCTTTGTTTTTGAGTCCCCCCCGTAACCTTCTTTTATCTGTTGATCCCACCAGTAGATCCCTTATTTTCTCCTCCTGTAATACGGTGGCAATGTTGTCTTATGTACATCTCTCCGGTCCAGGCGCAGTCTATGGTGCAGATTACGGTGGATCAGCTCCAGTACTTGCGCTGGCCGGATCATGGGGTGCCCAGGAACACGTCTGACCTGGTGCAACTGATAGAACTGATGGACAAGTGTAGGACCCCCGGGTCCGGACCCACCATCGTACATTGCAGGTATGGTGCTAGGTACAGTTCGCATCCATAAAAGTACATTGCCCCGAGTAGTGTTTATTTCCTATTATCATCAGCTCCATCTACTGTCCATAATGTGATATTTTCCTGATTGCACTATTTCAGGAACGTACCATTATACAGTGGGGCAAAAAAGTATTTAGTCCCCCACCAATGGTACAAGTTCTCCCACTTACAAAGATGAGAGAGGCCTGTAATTGGCATCATAGGTAGATCTCAACTATGAGAGACAAAATGAGAAAACAAATCCAGACAATCACATTGGCTGATCTGGAAAGAATTTATTTGCAAATTATGGTGGAAAATAAGTATTTGGTCTCCTACAAACAAGCAAGATTTCTGGCTCTCACAGACCTGGACCTTCTTCTTTAAGAGGCTCCTCTGTTCTGCACTCATTACCCTTATCAATGGCACTTGTTTGAACTTGTTATCAGTATAAAAAACACCTGTCCACAACCTCAAACAGTCACACTCCAAACTCCACTATGGTGAAGACCAAAGAGCTGTCGAAGGACACCAGAAACAAAATTGTAGACCTGCACCAGGCTGGGAAGACTGAACCTGCAATAGGCAAGCAGCTTGGTGTGAACAAATCAACCGTGGGAGCAATAATTAGAAAATGGAAGACATACAAGACCACTGATAATCTCCCTCAATCTGGGGCTCCACGCAAGATCTCACCCTGTGGGGTCAAAATGATCACAAGAACGGTGAGCAAAAATCCCAGGACCACACGGGGGGACCTAGTGAATGACCCGCAGAGAGCTGGGACCAACGTAACAAAGGCTACCATCAGTAACACACTACGCCGCCGCCAGGGCGGTGCCAGACGTGTCCCCCTGCTTAAGCCAGTACATGTCCGGCCCGTCTGAAGTTTGCTAGAGAACATTTGGATGATCCAGAAGAGGATTGGGAGAATGTCATATGGTCAGATGAAACCAAAATAGAACTGTTTGGTAGAGACACAACTTGTCGTGTTTGGAGGAGAGAGAATGCTGAGTTGCATCCAAAGAACACCATACCTACTGTGAAGCACGGGGGTGGCAACATCATGCTTTGGGGCTGTTTCTCCGCAAAGGGACCAGGACGACTGATCCATGTACAGGACAGAATGAATGGGGCCATGTATCGTGAGATTTTGAGTGCAAACCTCCTTCCATCAGCAAGGGCATTGAAGATGAAACGTGGCTGGGTCATCCAACATGACAATGATCCCAAACATACCGCCCGGGCAACGAAGGAGTGGCTTCGTTAGAAGCATTTCAAGGTCCTGGAGTGGCCTAGCCAGTCTCCAGATCTCAACCCCATAGAAAACCTTTGGAGGGAGTTGAAAGTCCGTGTTGCCCAGCGACAGCCCCAAAACATCACTGCTCTAGAGGAGATCTGCATGGAGGATGGGCCAACATACCGGCAACAGTGTGTGCCAACCTTGTGAAGACTTCCAGGAAACGTCTGACCTCTGTCATTGCCAACAAAGGATATATAACAAAGTATTGACATGAACTTTTCATATTCACCAAATACTTATTTTTCCACCATAATTTGCAAATAAATTCTTTCCAGATCAGCCAATGAGATTGTCTGGATTTGTTTTCTCATTTTGTCTCTCATAGTTGAGGTCTCCCTATGATGCCAATTACAGGCCTCTCTCATCTTTGTAAGTGGGAGAACTTGTACAATTGGTGGGGACTAAATACTTTTTTACAACACTGTATGGCCTTTGGAGGGAGCTAACGATCATAGGAAATACTTTTATTATGGGGATTAATCATGGTGGCTGTGCTGAGCCATTCACACAGCAAATTGTTTATTATTAGACTCCTTTGAGTCTTGTATGCCTGGCTTCATGTAGGGGGCATGCTTTCTTTGGGGGGTCAAGTAATTTCTTTCTTCCTATAAATCCAATTCACACCCCAGTGGTCTTCCATGTTTGCAGTGCTGGGATTGGCAGAACGGGCACATTTATAGCACTGGATATTCTCCTGAAGATGGCGCATGCAGTGAAGAAAGTGAATGTCTATAAGTGTGTGTCAGAGCTGAGGAAGAAGAGAGTGAAGATGGTGCAGGAAAAGGTTTGTTCATGTTCTATTGTCCTCCTTTATGTCACACCACTGACTTCATCATCACATGACACCTAATCCAATGTCACCTGATTCCCTATTCTCCCTGATAGACAACGAAGAGCTAATAAATGACTATAGATGATACTCTTTATTATTTATATAGCTCTGACATATATCACAGCGCTGTACAGAGATCACTGAGCCAGTCACATCAGTCTCTGTACCAGAGGAGCTTACACTCTAATGTCCCCTCCCCCACAGTCCCATCAGTCTCTGTACCAGAGGAGCTTATTCTCCAATGTCCCCTCCCCCACAGTCCCATCAGTCTCTGTACCAGAGGAGCTTACACTCTAATGTCCCCTCCCCCACAGTCACATCAGTCTCTGTACCAGAGGAGCTTACACTCTAATGTCCCCTTCCCCCACAGTCACATCAGTCACACTCTAATGTCCCCTCCCCCACAGTCACATCAGTCTCTGTACCAGAGGAGCTTACACTCTAATGTCCCCTCCCCCACAGTCACATCAGTCTCTGTACCAGAGGAGCTTACACTCTAATGTCCCCTCCCCCACAGTCACATCAGTCTCTGTACCAGAGGAGCTTACGCTCTAATGCCCCCTCCCCCACAGTCCCATTAGTCTCTGTACCAGAGGAGCTTACACTCTAATGTCCCCCCTCCCCCCACAGTCCCATCAGTCTCTGTACCAGAGGAGCTTACACTCTAATGTCCCCTTCCCCCACAGTCACATCCGTCTCTGTACCAGAGGAGCTTACACTCTAATGTCCCCCCTCCCCCACAGTCCCATCAGTCTCTGTACCAGAGGAGCTTATTCTCTAATGTCCCCTCCCCCACAGTCCCATCAGTCTCTGTACCAGAGGAGCTTACACTCTAATGTCCCCTCCCCCACAGTCACACACTATTTTTTTTATTATACATTTAGCTCTGACATTTACCGCAGCGCTGTACAGAGAACACTGAGTCAGTCACATCAGTCTCTGTACCAGAGGAGCTTACACTCTAATGTTCCCTCCCCCCACAGTCCCATCAGTCTCTGCACTAGAGGAGCTTGCACTCTAATGTCCCCCCACAGCCTCTCTATTCCTCATGACTTCACCAGGTGACAATGGTCAGAATATATGATCTTTCTCCCCTCCCGGTAGGAGCAGTACATCTTCCTCTATGACGCCTTGCTGGAAGCTCTCCTCTGTGGGAACACCATTGTTTCGGTATCAGACATCCAGAAACACATCCGTCACATATCAGTACGGGATAGGAGGACCAACATGAGCGGGTACGACAAGGAATTCCAGGTAATGAGACAGTTGTGTACATATAAAGTGAATTTTTATAGTGGAAAAAACACTACAAATGGTGAACCAACGCTTTCTACACGAGATCACCACTTAGTGTGTCCTCTCCACCACCAACACTGGAGGCCGTCACATCTCCATAAAACTACCCAACCCTCAGTGGACTTTATTAATGGTACCTCATTCAGTCAGGAATTTATTTGATATTGGCTCTCCAAGAACTTTTTATCCACTGAAGCACTACCCCTTTAGGAGTTGCTGACATTTTGGGTCCCCCTATTGTCCTGCACAGCTAGGCAACATGCAGTCCCTTCCAGACTTGTACTTCAGAGACAATAACAGAGACAGTCCTTGAACTTTTTTTTTTTAGATTTTATTAGGAGAATGGAACATGGATGGGGATGAGGAATGCATGGGATGCCCAAGGAACTGTTCAGCTGAGGACAACTTCCTGAAACTATGTACAAGTGCTCAGAAGGGTTTATGTTCTAGGAGAGCCATCCAACCTCTCCTGGTGCAGGAATCCCTGGACAAGGGGATCTAGTGTCTGACACTTTAAAAGCACAGTCCAGCCGGGGGCTAGTCAGGTTTCCCACCCAAATGCCCTCTCCCCTACTCCAGTCCAGGAGATGTAGAAGTACTCACTGTCCCTCTTCTGCAAGCTGCAGGTTGGCAGCTGCCTTCAGGCCTTCTGCTGAGCTGGCTCCTTCAATAGCTGCAAGATGGTCCTCTCTCAGGGAGCTGGGGAGCTCCACAGATGGTCCTCTTTCAGGGGGCTGGGATGCTCCACAGATGGTCCTCTCTCAGGGGGCTGGGGAGCTCCACAGATGGTCCTCTCTAAGGTAGCTGGGGATGTTCAGCTTTCCCTCTGTCAAGTCTATCCTCGTAGCAGGCCCCTTTGCTGAGGCCCATCCCAGGCTCCACAGTCCAGCTCCTGCTCTCACATCTTCCATCCAAACTCTCCCTCTTCTACTGAGCAGGCTCAGCTCTGCCTAAAAGCTGTCCCAATACCCTTGCCAAACCTCCTGCTTGGGGACTGTTTGAGATCCTTTAGGCAAACAGCCCAGCCACTCGTCATCCCGCCCACTGAGCTTTAGAGACTAATCCAAATCTCTAGATCTGGGGAAGGTTTCAGAGAGTTGATCTGCAGAGCCTCTCAGCCCTGACCCAAATTTGACCCCTCTGGCTATTTCTTCCAGCTGCTATTCAGCCTCCTGTCTAAAAAATAATTATCTAGCCCCCCCTAGTTTTCCTAGGAGGGTGCTAAACATGTTAAAGGGAATCTGTCACACTGCCCATCCCAGGTATGGCAACAGGTTCTCCTAATAGGTCGACCGCTACCCCTGGTAACTCTGCTGTGTTCCTCTTCTAGAGCCATGACTCTAATTCCTATGTAAGCTCCATGTTGGTGATAGATAGAGCTTACACAGGTGTACATTTGGTATGTCGACTGTAAGGTTGCCAAGTATACCAGATCTTGTGGAACAGTCCAGTGTCCTGCAGTGCCCATGTCCTTTGGGCTGTCCCATATGATTCAGGACACTGAGAAGTAGTTTCAGGAACTGGCTGGTGTTGTGGCGGCTGCCATTGCCTGGTGCAGTCACTTCTGCTTCCTCTGTAGTAATCTGCCAGACCTCAGATTCTGAAGCTGTGTGAGTGGCACACATAATCCATGTATAATCCAGTGTGTGACTCGAGCAGGAAGTCTGCATTGGACAGAGTCTCAGAGGACCTTCTACTGGTTCATAAGCTGAACCTCTGGAAACCTCAATCTCACACCTGTGGAGTGTGGTGCTCTATACTGCTGTGTATATACTGTGTGTTATACATTGAACTGTATGTTGCTTATTCCACAATTCCTCATTATGTACACCGTCCTGTACCTTCTCTACTCCACACCACCTCATTCAAAATTTTTGGTCATAATTCTTCTATGTCATATATAAAAGATAATATGTACTATATTGCCAAAAGTATTGGGCCGCCGGCCTTTCCACACACATGACCTTTAATTTCCTTACAGTCTTAGTCCGTAGGGTTCAATATTGAGTTGGCCCCGCCCTTTGCAGCTATAACAGCTTCATCTCTTCTGGGAAGGCCGTCCACAAGGCTTAGGAGGGTGTCTATGGGAAGGTTGGACCATTCTTCCAGAAGCACATTTGTCAGGTCAGGCACTGATGTCGGGGGAGGAGGCCTGGCTCACAGTCTCCACTCTAATTCATCCCAAGGTGTTCTATGGGGTTGAGGTCAGGACTCTGTGCAGGCCACTCAAGTTCCTCCACCCCAAACTGGCTCCCCAATGTCTTTATGGACCTTGCTTTGTGCACCGGTGCACAGTCATGTTGAAACAGGAAGGGGCCATCCCCAAACTCTTCCCACAAAGTTGGGAGCATGAAATTTTCCAAAATGTCGCCTTAAGAGTTCCCTTCACTGGAACTAGGGGGCCAAGTCCAACCCCTGAAAAACAACCCCACACCATAATCCCCCCTCCACCAAACTTTACACTTGGCACAATGCAGTCAGGCAAGTACCGTTCTCCTGGCAACTGCCAAACCCAGACACGTCCATTGGATTGCCAGACAGAGAAGCGTGATTGGTCATTCCAGAGAACATGTCTCCACTGCTCTAGAGTCCAGTGGCGGCGTGCTTTACACCACGGAATCCAATGCTTTGCATTGCACTTGGTGATGGAAGGTTTGGATGCAGCTGCTCGGCCATGGAAACCCATTCCATGAAGCTCTCTACGCACTGTTGTTGGGCTCATCTGAAGGCCACACCAAGTTTGGAGGTCTTTAGCTATTGACTCTGTAAACAGTTGGCGACTTCTGCGCACTGTGTGCTTCAGCATGCGCTGACCCCACCCTGTCATGTGACGTGGCCTACCACTTGGTGGCTGAGTTGCTGTTGTTCCCAGTTGCTTCCACTTTGTTATAATCCCACTAACAGTTGAGCGTGGAATATTTAGTAGCCAGGAAATGTCACGGATGGACTTATTGCCCAGGTGGCCACCTATCACGGGACCACGCTTGGAGTCACTGAGCTCCTGAGAGCGACCCATTCTTTCACCAATGTTTGTAGAAGCAGTCTGCCTGGCTGCCTGCCTAGGGGATGGATTGTATACACCTGTGTCCATGGAGGTGATTGGACCACCGGAATCACATAATTGAGAGGGCGGGGACAATACATTTGGGAATATAGTGTAAATCTTTAATAAAATTATTTTCCTTTCAGGATCTGGAGAAACTCACAGAATTATATCAGATATATCAATGTAAAGAAGGAAATAAGCTGGAAAACCTGGAGAAGAATCGCAACCCCAATATCCTGCCAGGTGATATGACTGTTTTATTGGGGAACAATGTAATTTTTTTGGGGCAATTGTGTCTTTTTTTTTTTTTCTTTATCTTTAAATAAATGATGTATTTTATTAATTATCGATTAACCACTTGCCGTTTGGAGCAATTTTTTTTTTCACACTCAAATCAGCATTTTTTGCTAGAAGACTACTTGGAAGTTCCAAACATTATATACAGTATATTTTTAAAGAAAATACCTCAGAGAAAAAAAATTGTGGCTGTAGCAATGTTTTATGTAGCAAATTTGTTATGTCGCAATGATATTTGCCACAGTCATTTACAAGTGCATATCTTCAGGGAAAAAACGCACCACCAAAATGAATTTTAATGCA